TGAGAGAGTGCATGTGTGTGAGAGGCTGTATGCATGAGTGTGTGCGCATTTGCGAGAATGTGTGAGCATGTGTGTGAGAACAAGTGTGTGTGTGCGTGAAAGTGTGCATGTGTGGGACTGACTGTGGGGACTGAATGCTGGTCCCTCGGCTCTTGGCTACTGGAACTTCCTCAGAGCCAGCAGGGAGAGTGTCCTCACAAGACAACGTGACAATCTTATGTCATGTAATCACAGATATGTAATCACACACATGCTACCATGTGCAGACAATCATGTGCAGACAATCATGTGCATCTAATTTACATGCTACTATGCAGATCATCAGTCATGTAACCATGTGCATGTGTGATCAGGTACCCGTGACTGCTCCATGTAAACACATACACATTACCGCCTAGCAGCCAATCACGCAATGTCATCGTGTATGTGGTCATGCAGTGTAATTACACACATGTAATCACAAATATGGCGCATGCATCCACTTTGCTGTATTCTGCGTGGCAAACAGGAGTCCTGGCTCCCATGCACACTGAGGGGAGGGGGTCACACAGGTGGGAGCACAGGAGGGTCCTCAGCGTCTCTGAGGGAACAGAAAAACCCTGGGAAGTGCTGTGCATCTTCCAGAAGACTTCATGTATTTCACAAACAGCAGCTCTGAAAGTTAAGTTTGGGGGAGCCTTCAGTCTTACACCTGCATCCACCACTCTGCTCCTTGTCAGAAAACAGACACCACAAAGGAGACCCCTATTGGCCCAGACTGATGCAGTCAAGGCCTTCACTCCTCAAGCACCTTGGATTTGATGGGCGTGGTTCCAGTGGTTTAGTCCATGACCTTAAAGCTGTGTGCTATTGTAGGAATAACTGCAAAAAGCAACCTAGGGAAAGAGAGAGTTCATATGTTTGGGAAGTGGAAGGTGCCAGATCAACTAAGACAGTGTGGGGTAATTATTAATAACCTAGAGCAATGCTACCATTCGGTCAGGGACCCTATTACCAGGGCAGTTGTCTTCTTCAAACTTAGAAAACCACCTCTCCCCTTTTCAGGGAACAGTGACATAAAGCAAACAGCACCGGGAGAGAGAGGGACATTCCTGTGGATATTTGTTCTCTGAATTTCCAGAACATGTTTAGAACTGGCTCAGCACCTGGGCAATGATGGAAGCACCCAGTGGATGAAGGCGTGTAGGTCACTGGTTCAGCACCTTCCAGGGTTTGGCCACAGCTTTGTATGTGCTCCAGCACGAGACATGGACATCGGTGCTCTGCACCTACAGCTGCCAATCAAATCTCATGAGCTCTAAATCCCCCTGGAAAAGACATGGCCATCTTACTGCTTCCATTGTAGAAACCCAAAAGCCACTCTGATTGGGGAGAAGGAGAAAGAGAGAGTCACTAGAGAGATACAGCCAGGAGGGGCCAGAGAAACTGCCCAGAGACCTACATTTCCATTCAGCTGCCCTAATGTCTTGCTTCTCTACTGAGCTATCGTATAAGAGCAAGGATTCACAGAGAAACGGGCCAAACACAAAATACCACCGTAAGGGCACATAGCAATTGCCACGCATCCGCTCGTTTCTGGGCGCCCATGGTCGGCCCGCACTGGTGGCATCTGGCTTGTCAGTGTGTGGGTTTACTTTTCTCACTGTTTACTTCCCCTGAATCATAACAGAAACTACCGCTTTTATTTTTAAATTTATCAATGTTCCTACAGTGGTTAAGGATTTACGCCATGTTCCCACATTATTCCAGGGCTTGGTCGACGCAACTGTTCTTACGTGCAAATAGCAAACACATTTCTTGGTAATGTGAATTCCGTCATTTTTTTTTAGTGGAGTTTACAGAACATAATTTAAAGATTTATATTAGTTAAAAACACTCCCCCCCTTCAGTTGCCTATCAGGATATTACATTTTTTTATTATTTTGATAAATGTTTAAGCTAGAATGGAATTTATAATCTAGAAAAAGTCTCTTTAAAAGATTGTAAATCACAACTCCTCGACCCTGAACAATTGTTTTCACTTTGGGAACACATGTGTAAGGTATGAATAATAAAACGTACCTTATAAAATATCGTCAAGGTACCTTTATAATGATATAAAACCCGTTATAATCCCAATGAGGAACCTAAGTCATTTTATTGTTAAGTGGTTTTTAAGAATTAATTATGCCACACAAGTGTAGTTGCTTAATAAAATACAATGCATTTTAGGGTGCTTCCAAACTACATTGAATGCACAGTAAGTGTGAACATGACCATGTGGCAATTCTGCACAGAAGTCACTTTTGAAAAGCACTGTTTAAGGCTGTCCCATTGCACTGAATTGTCCTCTCATCGAGACTGAAATCAATCACAGGAACTTAGAAAGCAATGACTATTCGGGGAGAGCCTGCCTTCTGATTCCCCCCATCCATCAGATGAAACCAGCACTGGTGCTTCTGGGATTGGGGGTGGAGGGGACTGTGGGGGGAATAAAGAGATTATTCTGGAGTCTTTCCTGCACAGGAACCTGCTTATTTACAAATGAATTCATAACCCGTGGAAAGTGAGCCGCATCTTTATTTTTAAATTCAGAAGCCGCATCTGCCCGTCCCATATTCTTGCCTGGAAAATGAGAGCCTCTGGATCTGGCGAAAGCCGAGGAGAAGCCTGTGCGTGGACTGCCCCACAGCGTGGCTCCTGTCTCTGTTACTATTTGGGACGCCACATCAGCAACAACAACTTCTCTGTGCCTGTTCCCTGCGGCCCTCCCTCCAGCCTCCAGCCCTAGCTGCTCCCTGTGCAGGGCTGCGTCACTGCTCCGAGCTCCTTTCAGAGGCAAATTCATGCGCGCACTCATGCATGCCCGGCAGCGTGTCTGGGTGTCTGGGAGCCTCGGTGGTGCTGACGGCGCTGACAGCGGGTCAGGCCCCACTGGGCTGTCTTCTCCGGGCCCTGCCTGCTCCCCGCCCAGCAACCCCTCTGTGCCCTCGGAATGACAACACTCCGGTTTCAGCCTCTCCAAGGGTCAACCAGATAACCCGCTGCAAGAGGCCTTATCTTTGTCCTTCCTCCCCTGCTGTCCCCTGAGAAGGGACAGAACACAGAGGGCCCACAAAGGAGAGCTGAGAGCCAGGGCAAGGAGGGGCCCGCACAGGAGTCAGGGTGCCAGCAGCCTCAGGCCAGTGTCTGTGATCCTCCGCACCCACTGAGCCCGTGGCCCGCCTGCCCTCCTCCTGCCCACACAGGCCCAGCACATCAGTACTTCTCACTTCACGCTGCCTTGGGTATGGCAGGATGACAAGCACGGGGTGATTTTCCTGGAAATGGCAAACGACCTACTCAAGGGACCTCAGCCTCCCCTAGGGGTGAGGAGACCTGGAGGGAGCAGCCCCCACCCACCCCCACAGGCCACCCCTGTGCAGGACTCTGACCCTGTGCTGCGGGGGGCTTTGCCTGGTCTGCACAGGGGCAGGAACCCTCCAGGGCAACAGGTGGCGTCAGGGCCCTGTAGGCCCTGCAGAGCCTGGAGCATGTGCCCACTTGATGAGAGGTCACCTGGTGACTGACCAGACCACCCTCAGCTCCTGTGTGTGACCTATGACCTCCAGGAGAACTGGCAGTGTTGTGCATGTGGCCACTGGGAGTTTGAGGGGCACAGAGGGAGGGAGCTGCCCTTACCCCTCATTACCATGGAGACAGCCTCAGTGCCTCCTCTGCTCTTTGGGCCCTGATTCGATTTCACCAACCAGTGGGCTTAAAACAACAGAAGTGTGTGGTCTCACAGTTCTGGGGGCCAGAAGTCCAAGATCAAGGTGCCAGCAGGGTTGGTTCCTTCGGGAGGCTCTCGGGGAAGACCTCACCCAGCCTCTCTGGGAGGCAGGTGGCCCAGTGCTCCCTGTGATTCTTGTTTGTGGCCACCTCACTCCAATTTCTGCCTCTGAGTTCACGTGGCTTCCCCCTGTCTCTCTGCATCCCAGTAGTCACACTGGCTTTAGAGCCCACCCTAATCTACTAAGGCCTCAACCCAACTTGATTACATCTACAAAGACTCCATTTCCAGCCCTAGCTGGTCTGGCTCAGTGGATAGAGTATCAGCCTGCAGGCTGAAGGGTCCCGGGTTCAATTCTAGTCAAGGGCACATGCCAGTGTCGCTGGCCCAATTCCCAGTAGGGGGCATGCAGGAGGCAGCCAATCAATGATTCTCTCTCATCATTGCTGATTCTATTCTCTCTCCCCTCTCCTTTCCTCTCTGAAATCAATAAAAATATATTTTAAAAAATACAAAACACACAAACCTCCATTTCCAAATAAGGTCACATTCACAGGCTCCATGTGGACATGAATTTTGGGGGCCCAACCAGCTTGCTCGAAGCCCTGAGAAGCCCCTGATGCCTGGAGCTCTGCCCACCTTCAGGTGTCAGACCCTCCTCTCAAAACCCTCCATGGCACTACTCCTGCCCCCTCCTAGGCCTCAGCAAGGATGAGTGCAGGTCACCACCTGACACTGGAGCAGGTCATCCTCAGCTTCAACGGGAACATAATCTGAAGCTGCTGTGTGATGGGGGCCCGACCCTGGGGACCCTCTGGGGGTTTATGGACTACGTTCCGGGAGTCCCTCAGGGAGTGTCCGACCCCCTGCAGCAGGGCTGGCATTGGGTCTGTGTCTCTGCGGGCCAACCCTACACTCCGACTTCCCATCAAGGAGCTGTTCCCGCCTCATTGCCCTACAGAGGAGGCGACTCGGGCTCTCCCATGAGACTTGTGTCCCCAGCGTACATGGCCAGCCTCTCCATGGGCCCTCACTGCACGGGGCTTTCTAGTCTGAAATTGCTATTTATTCCAATGATCTGCAAGAAGACAGAGGTGTCAGGTGCCGTTGGTGGGATTCTGTACAAGCCGGTTTCAGTGGCAGAGAAAATATCAAGCAAGGACGATGGTCCAACAAGGAACCAAGGAGACATCTTGTTGCCACATTAGAGAGAGTGAAGACGTCGAATTACTAATTAAATAGGAGACTAAACAGGACAAACCTTTTAAAGAGGAGACATAACATTTAAGCGTAAAATCAACATGGTGGGGGAAAGGTCGCAGAAGATCAAATGAGGCCTCTCACACTTGAGCTTCTCCATTTTCTTATGGATCAATATTACATTTTTTCCAGCTAAAATGCAACAGCAGAGTTATTGCTGACCTTTCGCTCACCCTTCTGCTGTGAATACAATCACAGCAAAAGAACAAATGACTTTATAAGCCACAGAATTTTTCTGATCCAAACCCCCAGGTGAGCTGAAATCTTCCTCAAAAATCTATTCCACTTGAAAATAGGAAGAATGAGCCGCTCCTCTAATCAGACACTAGAGAACGCCGTCGCCATGAAAAATAAATCACCCATCAAAAATGGTTTGTCATCACTGCCAGTGGCACAGGTGGGACTGCTGTGCCATCCTTCCTAGAAGTCAACCGGGTGGTTCCACACGCAAGTGTCACATGTGAGATCGATGCCTTTGTGAGCCACGCTGCAGTTACCACGGTGATTCGATCACGCCTTCTTTATCTCACAAGTTATTTAGGTCACTGTCCAAATTACTTCTCATGGGTTGAGAGGAAGTCCCATGTGGAGAGGAAAATCCAACGGTTTCTTCGAGAAAGCCACCTTCAGGACGGAGCTGCTACTCCAGGCTCCTAAGGAGAGACTCCAAACCAAGCTGGTTTAGATTCAGATGAATTTGGCTTCAAAACCTTGCAGCTGGACTTCGCCAGTTCCCCTGTAAGGCGAGCTCCTCGGGGACCAGTGCACTGCCAGCCCCTGTCCGGGGGCCTCCTCGTCTCGCCGAGTGCTTGCCCTGGTTGTTTTAGGTTGAGTCCTGGGTCCGCATGGAGAGGCACTGTGTCCCCCCATGTTGCCTGTCCTCAAAGTCTCCCTGGTAAAAAATAACAAGGACATGAAACATGGGAACTGATTTTAATAGGCTTTTTGATTCACAGTAAAACAAAAATAATTTTTCTAATATTAAAAAGATATGGATTTTCTTTAGATCTTATGAGTGACAACAGTAGACCTAATATAGAAACTCTATGCCCATGTAACAGGGAAACTTGCCTAGGCGTGAGTGCTTGGCCTAGCAGAATCCATAATCTCCTGGAGACTGTGCAGACCAGGCCAGGGTAGGGTTGTATGATGGTGATTGCCTACTGGGTATTATATTCATGTAAGCAGCAAGTTATCTTGATTCTGAGTCTTATTAACACAGAGACTATTTCCCATTTTGAAATGATCAATATAATATGCTTAAGGAAGGTGGATTAATTTTATATAATATACTCTACTTGCTTGGGTTTTCTTCAGGCTAATGGAGTTCCAGCGGTGTTTGATCTTCAATAATTTTTTTTAAATATGTACATGTGGACATAACTTGCCAAGTAGATGTGCCTATTCATTGAAACTTATCGTCTCTTTTATTTTTTTCTTTCCCAACCTACTTTTTTTTTTAGGATTATTCTCTTTATTGGGAGATAATATGAAAGCTGATCATAAACTATTGTCGTATGTTGAAATATAATGGCCAATACCATACAAGTATTAAGTCTGAATGCTCCATTCACAATTTTATTTTATTTTTTTTATTTTTAAATATATTTTATTGATTTTTTTACAAAGAGGAAGGGAGAGGGATAGAGAGTTAGAAACATCGATGAGAGAGAAACATCGATCAGCTGCCTCCTGCACAGCCCCCACTGGGGATGTGCCCCCAACCCAGGTACATGCCCTTAACCGGAATCGAACCTGGGACCTTTCAGTCCGCAGGCCGACGCTCTATCCCCTGAGCCAAACCGGTTTCGGCTCCATTAACAATTTTAAAGTGCTCAGACCAAACTGGTTTCTTGTATTGCACAAATAATTCTGCATTACAAATATTTTCAAGAGAGTTTTCACGATGACCATTGTATTCCAACCTACTTCTTTCTTTTATTTTTTCCATCAGCATTTATCTCCTCTATGCCCTTTTCCACCTCCCCTCCTCCTCTCTATCTTCTCTCTTATTTACACTTCGAAATTTAAGATTAGGTTAAAGGAAACATTAGTTAAAATGACTTAATGTATTTGTTGCAAAGAATCTTAAGACTATGACCAAGCCCTTGGTACTTTAGGTCACCCTACAGAAATGTGAGCAACTGTGCAGCCCATGGGACAGTGAGCAGTTCCCGTGGGGCAGCAGGCAAGCCTCCAGCCAGGTGGGGAGAGGGGAAGGGCAATGGGGAGCAGCTTGTGGGGTTGGATCAGTCTCCACCAGAACCCCCACATCAGGGCCTGCAGGAGAAGGTCAGGCAGGTGTAGAATGCAGAGGCCTGGGAATCCTTTCTCGCCCCCCTTCTCCTTCCAGTTTACCCAGGGCCACCTGAAGGGGGTCCGTGGAAACCTAGGCCAGGTGGGAGAAGAGAGCTGCCTCCAGACCTCTGCACACTGAATCCCAGGGTGGCTGCTCTTTGGGCTCCAGTGGGTGAATTTAAAAGGGCACCCCTTCCTTCCAGGGGTCAGAGCCCTCACATCCATGTATTGATGGGCAGAGAGCCCCCACCTGGCCAGAATCCCATGAGCCAGAGCACATGGCACAACCAAACTCCTGGGCCCTTCTGAGCCTTTGCGACCTGAGGCCTGGCCCCCCTCTCTCCGTGGGAAAGTGAAATGCAGGGTATGAGCCCAGGCTTTGAGGGGGCAGTGCCTACCACCCCTGAGTGCTCAGCCCTCTGATAAAGCAAGACAGTGAGCAGGAGACTCTATCCACAAACTAACAGCTTGAAGGCACTGTATTAGAGCAGAGCGTGCATGATGGGTGGCCAGGCTAGGGAGCGGTGGGCACCAACGTTGGCTGGGATGGAGTTTTGATAGCCAGAGACTTCGGCAAATCAGCATTATTATTGCAAAGTCCAAGTTTCAGTGGGACCAATAACACACTCTAGGGCAGGGGTCCTCAAACTTTTTAAACAGGGGGCCAGTTCACTGTCCCTCAGACCGTTGGAGGGCCAGACTATAGTTTAAAAAAAAAACTATGAACAAATTCCTATGCACACTGCACATATCTTATTTTGAAGTAAAAAAACAAAACGGGAACAAATACAATATTTGTATTTGTATGTGGCCCGCGGGCCGTAGTTTGAGGACCCCTGCTCTAGGGCAATGGAAATTGATAGATCCTCCCTTCCCCCAACTGGTGGGCGGAGTATGACATAACCTGCAGCCCAGAAATACCTGAGTGACTAACCAGGTACCTTATATGGACTATACATTGAACCACCAATCAACACCTGCCAAATACCCTAAGCCCTTGTTCCTATATGGACCATACATTAAGCCACCAATCAGCGTGTGCCGAGTACACTAAGTCCCCATTCTTTCCCATTCCTCCTCTCAAAGGGTGTGCTCACCTCTGCACGGGTTGCTGTTCTCCCATTGAGAGACAGCCCGGCAGGTCTTTTTCCCCTAATGAAGCCTGTAATCCTGGTTTTCCGCTCCCAACTGGTCTCTCAGAAATAACTGGGAAATTGTGATTCACTTGTGTGGGGTTTTAATGACAAAAATGACTCTGCAAAGTTTGCCATCTTCTTCCAGCTTGGCAGCTAGTTCCACCCACTGGTTAAAGAAAACAACTTATAAATACAAAGACAAAACTTTAAATGGAGTGTTTCTTTTTTTCAATTAAAAATGAGGTTGAATGCTGAAAATTCAAATTATGAAGAGAAATATAAGGGAAATAACCACAATTTCTCTGGTGTAGCATTCTATTTACATAAAATTGGGATTTAGTTGATAAGTATTTTTGTTAAGGGCAAAAACAAATCTACTTCAATATTTCTAATTTTTAATCCTAAAATTCAGGTGGAAACTAACTGTCCTATTTTCAAACTAAATGAGCCTCATGAATATTTTTACCAAGAAAATGTACCATAAAAAATAAAGACCTGGTATATCGTGATTTTTCTTCTTTCAAACAAAAAAAAAAAAAAGAAAGGCTATCTCCTATGAAGGGTGATGGTTGGGTTTGTAGCTCCTGATCCTTTGTGAGGGTGGTTTACATGGAGACTCACTACTTCTGGCCTTTAGGACACAGGCAGGACCTCACGTGACTAAGATTCAAGTGGGACTGCGGCCATCAGAGCACTTGGGGGCCATGAAGCGTCGCCAGTGCCCACGACCTGCACGCAGTAGCCAACCAGCACCGGGACATTTCTTCGCAGGAATGGGAACACCAAAGCAAGGCGAAGCTCTACACACCAATTCAAACACAATCGGCCTCCTGCCGGGCTTCTACAAAGCGGCCACATTAGGGTTTGGAAAAAGTGCCTATAAACATTTCATGGTTGGGATTGAAAAAAAGAAAAAAATTACACACATAAAGGTGATTCATGGGAATGTCTGTATTTTTTAGATGTGGCCTTTCACCTTGGTTTATATAAATGATGAGATGCCACGACACATGGGGGGCCTGTGGTGACACTGGAGAACGTGCAGCAGCATCTGTGTAAGGCCCGTGGACACAGCCACGCAGTCCCCTCAGAGAACCGGCCACGAACACTGCTGCTGTGCAGTCGCAGCCCACGTCACTTCTGCTGGGGAAGGACGGATGAGGCTGAAGGAGGTGGACCTCCTATTTCCCTTCCCTTTTCCTTGTCATCGGGTCTGCGAATAATCTCTCACGTTGGATCAGAGGCAGCTCATGAGATGTTTACAGTCCCATCTGCCAATTTCCCCTGAGACTCCACAGCGGGTCTAACTCTCCCACCAGCGGGACCTGGTGGTGTCCCCCCACCCACCGAGCTGCCTCTTCCCAGCCAGGAGGGTGTGGGGCCCTGTGAGTCTGGTTGCCTTACAGTTACTCCCAAACCCAAGTGCGTGGCTTTACTTTCCCCTTTTGATAACATTATAGAATCTGAGAAAACAGCTCATGTGCCCTCATTTTTAATGATATAATGAAATCTCATTTTTAATTACCTGAACAAAAAGGTTTCAAGTCCATCAGATTGCCTCTCAGGGCTGCAGAGGTATTAACGGGCTCCAGAACCAATTACCTACATTTCCTTTTTACTTATTGCAAATGTGACCTTTTGTTAGAATTTGATTGCGAGTTTCCTGCTGTGAGTGGGTAACCATGGCGTCTCGGACCGGCTCCCCTCACGTCAGGGCGGCTGTTCATTTTAATTCCCTCTGATGGCTGCAGGACAAGTAAGTGTCTGGGACCCGGCGCCATAATGAGAGGAACCCGGGGCCATGCGGCCCTTCAGTGACAGACCCACGACGTCGTGGGTGGAGGGAAATCGCCTGCCATCTGTCCAGAGGAAAGCAGGGCCATGTTCTGCATGTGGTGTGAGGACCGTGACGACCGCTGTAAAGATAAGGCTGGGGCCAAGGAGGAGCCGTGGGAGATGGAGGGACGAGAAACGGAGCCCAGCAGGAGGGCATCTGGGTGGCGGCAGCCTGAGAGCTCACAAGTCAGTGCCGAGCACAGGGGAGCATCACGGGACCCGAGAAGCAGGAGTCTAGAAGGAGCCAGCGGGTCCAGCCAGTCCTGAAGAATGGAGAATCCCACAACAGGGCACACTGTGTGTCCCCTTCCAGCCTAGATCCACCTCCTCCACGTGCTAAGGCTCCTGTCCTAGCAGATCCCACCACCTCCTTACTCCTAAGTACATATAAATACATCGAGGGAGGAGGGAGGGGGAGGGGGAGGGGGAGGGGGCAGGGGGAGGGGGCAAGGGGAGAGGGCTGGTTTGGGGAAGTCAGCAGAGCAGGGCTCAGGGGCACCCTGGGTTGGGGTCAGCTCCTCAGGGAGATTACTGGAGACTGAAGACTGGGATTTCGCTCCACTGCAGCCTGGCCCAGGGCAAGGTTAGCCAGACTAGCAAGGATGGGGAAGGGCCTGCAAGAGACAGAGGGCAGGGCTCCAAGCCCTGGCCTTTCCCTTCCACCTGGGGAGGTGACAACACACGGAGCCCCAGCACCTGCAGTCCTAGCCTCTGGAGAGTCGGGAGCCCTGTCGCCCCTGGCCCAAGATCAGAGCCTGGGTCCCAGACAGGGTGGCTCTTTCCCATTTTCTGCTCAGCCATCTGAGCACGTCATGGGGACACCTTAAGTAGCTATAGGACAGAAGGGTGGGGACGGCAGCCAGCCAGCTGGTCCCTAACTCTCACTGATGGAGACATGGGCCATTAGGAGGAAGCGACTCCAGTGGCTGGGAAACCCAGGAGGCCCCAAGTGCTGGGATAGAGAGAGGGGAGCTGTCAGTGCCCAGAGAACGTGACCTCTGTGTGGTCAGTCCCCAGTCAGCAGTCAGAGTAAGTGACCAGAGGGTGAATGACAAACTCATGCTGAGAGACACATGTCCCTTAGGAAAGGAAATGCAAGGGCCATTTGTGTGTGTGTTAGGGGTGGGGGGGTAGCCCCTACTTAACTCTCAGGCTGTTTCCTAAGGAAGCCCTAGGCCAGGCACCTTGGGAGTGTCCTGATGGAAGACCAAGGTCTTCCTGGGGGTGGGGGTGGGGCGAAGTACAAGCACAGACAGATCTCAGAAGCTCTGGGACAGAGGGGTGGATGGGGCGGCGGGGAAAAGGAGCATGGGGGTGTCCTGGTGAGGGTCTTCCCCTGCAGCCCTTTCCAGAACCACGTGCTTCTCTCTGTTTCAGCGTAGCTGACCAGCTGGCCTACCGAGTACCCCCAGCCCATGCCTGCTCACCTCGCACCCCTGCCAGGGCCTCTTCACCCTCCCAAGGGAGCCTTGAGGCCTGTGGCACTGGCAACCTTATGGGGGGGGGGGGAAGGCTGCATTTCCAGGATTTCCAGCTGGACCTGGGAGTGTTTTCCCCACCCTTTCCACAGAGGTTTCCTGTGGGGTCCCTGGACTTGCAGGGCTCTGACCTCAGTGGCAACGTCTCCTGGAAGAGAACACTCGGGAGGTACCTGCTGACTCGGCAAAGTTTGGGAATCATCCCACTCGTGGTTGGGGAGCCATCAGGTTACATGATGGCCATTCCAACCGCAAAACAAGCTCCGTTCATTAACAAGCCACCATAACTCACACGGAGGGCGCAGAAGGCATGCAAAGGAGCGCGGCCCACCCACAGTTTACAATATAACTAAATCAAAGGCATCAGCACCTCCGAGCTGCGGACCAGGCCTCCCGCAGTCGGGGAAGAGGCGGGAGTGATGGAAACGCAGTGCCCGGGCCTACAGCCTGCCACGGACCCTGAAATGAAGAACCTCCTGGGAAGAAAGGAGCGCTGTGCTCATACAGTGACTGCTGGAAAGTTACCTTCTCCAAAGAGGATGAGAGAAGTGAGAAGAGGAGCAGGTGGCTCTCAAGGGTGACACTGTGAGTTGCCACCTGAAAGGGGGAGGGTGGGTGTCCTGGGAGCTGAGAGTCCTGAACAGGAGGGGCTGCAGAGAAATGGCCCACATGCTTTCATCCAATACCTGGCCCTGTCTTTGCTTTGCCTGGCTCACCGGTGCTGCGGTCAGCTCTCTGAACTCGGGCCACACACTTTAAGAGGGGTCTCAGGAGGGGAAAGTAGCAGAGGTGACTGCACTTGGAGAGATGGGACTGTACTCTGAATGCCACCAGCATGGGCGGAGGAAGGGGACAGGAGCACCCACCTGCTGGCCTGGGTCCCTCAGGCTGTCCTAGGGAGAGCCCTGCCCACCCCACCCCAGCCCAGCCCAGGTACTGGGATGGAGCAGCAGCTGTATCCAATCAAATGCCCTTTTCATAAAGCCCAGGAGCCAGGATCCCCGCTCTACTGATGAGAGCTGTGAGTTCGAGATGAGACGACTGGTCCTGACTGCCCTCAGATCCCAGCCCCTCCCCCATCCCACACCCAACTGGGTGGGGCTCCCCTGGAAACCCTGGCCAGTGCTTTCTTATTGGAGGGTGGGGAGGGAGAAATGGCTATTCCTTCGCTCCCCGCCTGGGTCATCGCCTCCTCCTGGGTTGTAGCTTCTTCCAGGTGGCACAGGCTGGTAAGCATGCCCCTCCTCGTCTTGCTTCTCCATTTAACTTAAACATGTCACCCCAAATTCAGAGGTGGCCCAGTTATCTCAGACTAGAGGCCCGATGCACGAAAATTTGTGCAAGAGTAGGCGTTCCTTCCCCTGGCTGCCGACACTAGCTTCCCTCCACCGCCGCAGGCACCTGGGACCCGGGCTGGCTTCCCTCTGCCCCGGCTTTGTCAGGAAGGACGTCTGGTCTAATTAGCATACTACCCTTTTATTATTATATATGTGTGTGATGACTTGTCCAATGCCTGCTCACCTCACTGACTTCAGTCTCCACTGAGAGGAGACACCTCCCCACATGTTCCAGGGCCTAATACCACAGTCAGTGCTTTCCAGATGTTTGGCAAGTGAGTTCATTCGTGTCTCCATGTTGTTCAGGCCAACATGTGCCCATGGGACCCGCTGAGGATAAGGTCTCACTGTCCTGCTTGGCTTAGTCATCTTCATCATAATGCTGAGCTCAAGACACACTGATCACTAACATCAACAATTTGTTTAGTTTTATAAAAAAAAATCAAGGCAAAGTGAAATGTATAACACAGCTTTCCAACTGCCTTCTAGCAGAGAACTGTTTCATCAAACTGGTTCTTGCCAAAGATTCGGTGTGTCTGAGAAGACAAGCAAGGGCTCTGGCCCAGTGGGGTCTGGTGCTGCCCAGGGTGGGGAACCACAGGGTGCCCGGACACCAGGATGGAGATAAGCATGTCCAGGGCTGCCACACACTGCTGGGCAGGTGGAGGGGGCAGCTCGGGGCCCCAGTGTCAGATGGGCAGCTACACTTCCCCATGGATACAACTGCCACACCTAGAAGGTGACCTTGGGCTGATGACATGATCAAAAGCACAGCCGTTACAAATGAGCTCCCAGCACTCCAGTCTGGACTCTGCCCTCTGATGCTGGCAGCTTTGCTACAGCCAAACCCAGACCACTGCCTCCCGTGACCTACCTATAAAATCAGAGCAACGCAGGAACATCACGGTTAACCAAAACGGCAATTAAATGTCGACTATACCACAATCTGATTCTCCAAACGAGCCTCAAAGTACAAGACCAGAAACAGCAGAGGCTGGTGAGGCCCTGGAACTCAGGCGGGGTGCTGCGTTCGTGGCCCTCATGGCTTTCTCCCGACGTTTGACTCACTTCCCAACCTTTCCTGACTGCAGAAAGTCCTTGACCAAATCACCATCCAGAGTGGGCCAACTACTTCTAACTCTGCTCTTTCTGACTTTATAGTTGAGATCATTCCCGTTGCCCATCAGGTAACCTAAACTCATGGCCCTTCCCCACCTCCTGCTGCAGACGTGATGAACGAAGGTACCAAGGTCCTGCCCCTCTCACAGCAAGGCTGGGGTTCCCTTGCCCACACCGACCGGCACGGGGCTCTGAGCTTTCAGACAATGCCATGTCCACAGCCAGCCTCAGAGGAGGTGTTTATGATCCGTATGTTACAGTCAAGGAAACAAAACTCCCAGAGACAGCGACTCTCACACTGGTCACCAGCAAGCTGGGATTCGAGTTCTGCTTGAACCAACTGCAAGAGCCAAACTCGGCCGTGTTGTTGTGTCTGGTTGAGGGGCCCTGTCAGGAGTCGGGGCTGTGCTCCTGGGCTGACCTCCCTGCCTGATTAGATGGTCTGACCAGGAACCACGTGTGCCGTGAGTGTTCCTGGAAAAGGAAGAACACTGTCACCCGCTGGCCAGCTGTCGGTGAGCACTCAGACTCAGTGTGACGACAGTGAGGGAAGGAGATGCCAGGATGCGGCTACACCCTCCCCTCCCCTCAAACCCTCCCCATGATGTGTCCTCTCTTTCGAGGTTGGCCAGGCTCTCTCCCACTGGAATCACTAAGTTATGCTCTCTGTAAAAAATCAATAAAATATATTTAATAAAAAAAAAACATAATTATTGCAAAACAGGAGAAATAATTTAATGCACATGAAATAGTCCCAGAACTGGAAGGTGGACCATTGAGATAATTTCAATATTGGATCTGCCTGGTCTCCGTCTTCCCGTCTTTATTTCCTATGGTCTGCGCTGTGACATGACAGCCCCGAAAGCAGATCATCTACATGGAGATTAAGTTGTTAGAAGAGTTCTTACAACTCCTAATTCATATTTTATAAGCCTTTGTGCATTTGGAGAGTGATCAACTGAAATTTAATTGGGTTAGACGTTATCATTTAACATTTTAAATAACTGCACAAAAATGAAATTTAAAATCCCCCCATGCCTAATAAATTAGTGCTGTAATACTGATAGTAGCCTCTGACAGACTGAGCACAGGTGGGCATGAGTAGAGGGGGGCTGCCCATCAGCCCTGCAGGGGCGCCGAGGGCTGTGAGGACTTCCTCTGAGCATCACCCTCCCATTCAGTCACTCGATGATTCAGAGCGTCAGTGGCTTCATTTTATGAGAAATGCTTAATAGCCACGAAAGTCAGCCACAGGCAAGCCTGCTGCCTCCTCGCTCATCCAGGAGGAGGGTCCCCCTTGT